TGAATCTCGGATGATGTCTGTTGCTTGTCCCGTATAGTTTACCTCACCACAAGTTATTTCCTCTTGACCATAAAATGTATTCTCAATAAGCTCATTAGCATCGAGTAGCTTTGAGTGGCTACTTGTCCCTTTTTAATTCCCCCATCTAGTGTTGGAACAAAATTATTGATCCCCTTTGTTGGTCTTGCTCATTCAGCACTCGTTGTTGGCCCTTAAATCGGAGTCGAAGTATAACATTTCCTCCCCACTTATAGATATTTCGCCCTCGAAATTTGTCCATTGTGCTTAACCTAAGCATCGCTTGTGGTACTCCTTTTCACTTGGAGGGTTTGTATTTCCTTTAACTTATACGACATGACCTAAAATCCTTCTCTCCATTCACTGCAACTTCAATGTGGTTGTGGCTTCTTAACCCCTCACATTACCTAGGTTGCACCTTGTACACATATGGCGGCTTATCCTCTATCCCATCAGATGGTAAAATTCCTTTAACGTAACTCTCGTCCGGAGTTGACCTCATAGGTCACCTAGGTCCTTGTATCTCTTAACTCTACATCTCTTACTTTCTTCCTCACTGCCTCGTCTTATCCCTTAACCATAAACTGAATGGTCACCGCCTCGTTGCTTGTTTCTTAGAGCCAAAACCTCATACTACTGCTTTTACCTTCTGTAGCATTAGAGACATCCTTTGCATTTCTCTCTAGCTTGCGATCAACCTTATGAATCATTTCAAGAATCATGATATTCCCAATGGCTTACTTGCTCACTCCTGGCGCCTAACTTAGCACTTCCTTATAGTTGCTTGAATTTGATGTTCTCGTAATATCCATTCGCCACTCTTAGACCCTAGCTGAAACTCCTCGTACTGTTTCCCCGTCCAATAAGGTTTTACCCGAGAGATTGACACCTTTTACCAACATAGGCGATCTTGGTTTCACTTTGGGGTATCCTAGCAGGTTCGCTAAACTCATATCCATCTTACTTCTTTACTCGTGACTCCTCTTATTGATGTTTCTCGCTAGTTCTATATGTCCCTCATCCTCGATGTGGTCATCTTGGTGCCCATATTCTCTTCTCACTTATGTACCTTGACCGATAAGGTTTTCCCTTCGACCGTTCTGGACCACCACACTTCTACTTTAAAGTTGACCATTGAGCTTCTCAGTTCTTGATGGCTTCCTATGGTCCAACTTATTCTCCACTGGAAATCACCTTAACGCCTCCTTGTTGACCCTCGTATTTTTTCGCCGGCTCTTCCTATCTATCTTTCTCCCTGAATTTGTCGTTTTATCAACTACCACCCTTTTCACCATAACTTTCATTATAGCCTTGTGGTTTCCTCCTTACTTCCACAACTCCTTCATCGATGCTTGGTACTAGATTTGATCTACTCATTTTAGTAGCTCCTCGCCATACCTCAGAGCCAACGTTTCCACTAGAAACTTTCTCTAGGTAGACTTGACAGATGACACCCACGACTTCTAATCACGATGGTGCATGACCACGTCCCAACTATCTTCCTTCACGTATTCATTGTCCGGTCGACAACCACCTTTTTTATTTTACTTCCTGTAGCGTCCTATGGTGTTCTCCTTGCTTCTTTACTTTTACTACCCTTCTGTGGCTGCTTTGTACTATTTTTCGGTCACCAAACTCTGTTGAGTATCTTCTCGTTGTTGTTTTGGGTCAAAGCTTCCAATAGTGGCTTGCCCTTGGTAGGCTTGAACATACCTCATCCACGTCTTTTGTCTCGACCGATGCTTGTACATAGCCGTAATCTCTTAGTCGTGGCTCTTAGTGGCTTAACTAAATATCACTAATTTATCATTAACTGACCTTCTTTTATGGATGACATCCTACTATGTCGTACTCGCTCAGAGTGGGGCACCTTGGGTAAGGTAACTTAATGATTTCCTCCTTCTTGGTAATGCTTTTCCTCGTCGTACTCCACTATGCATTTTCTTGAACACGAGTCACCTACCCATATTCTCAATCCTTCATCGGAACTTCCATGTGTTTCCTCGAATTCTCTGCCATTCACTAGAACATTTATTGAACATTCCACTTATTTGTCTATACTCGGTTGGCTTAATGACTTACTCTATAGCTAGTTCCGAGACCTCAGCTCTTAGCCCTCTAGTTCCAACTTAGTAGAGGGATTCCTCCTTCTGTCACCCTCATGTACCCTAGACAGCTAGGTGCTCCCTCAATTCAGCATAGGGCAATCCCATAACAGGTCATTACGAACTCTGCATTCCCCTTTCAACTATCCCAACGACCTCCTGACCTTTCATGATCTGGGTAGTTTGTAAGGTCTCTAATATCCTCTTTCTAGCTCCGTGTTGACTTAGTATTCAGATCACGCATTGCTGAGAAGTGGTTCTCTATTTGTTCTGCCATTTACTAGCTAACTGTTATTCCCTCTCACATTCCATATCTTTTCTTACTTATTGACTCCCCATTGTCTTCTACCAGATATGCTTTAGACTTTGGTGGCACTTTCCCCCATGTATCGTCTAATGGTGGTCGTACTGAGACCATAACCTATCCTCTACATCATTTACCTCGTTGCTTGTCTGGTTCCTTCTAACGGCTTGTCATCGGCCTAACCCCCAGGGTCGTGTACCCTCTTCTCTAGTGGCGTCGTTTATCTATAAGGGTTCCTTTATTGTCATATGTAAACGACCATACCTCCTCTCCGCCTTGACCTCTTGACTTCTTGACGTCCTTTCATACTCCCTGTAACCTACTTATTTCTTCCTTTAGTTCATTTATACTACTCTAGCTTTTCTTGAAGTCTAAGCTTCCCGCTGCTCCTTGTCACGGTGTTGTAATAGCTTTGACCACTAAAACTAGTTGAGGGACTTCTCGTGGTGCCTCTGCGTTTCTTGACTCGCCTCTGCTTAGGGTCAAGGACCCTGAAATTCCTTCATCGTTATAGCTATTGACATCTAGTGATTGTAGCTCCTTCCTTGGTGATTCATATTTCTCCCCCTTCTTTGTCTTAGCTTATTAGATCATCCACTTGTTTCCTAGTAGTAAAATCCTCATACTACTCCTTCAACTCCTTCAAAATCCTAGAGGTATTTCCTTACAATTATTAGAACTATAGTTATTTACCTTAATACGATTAGAGTAGACTGGATATTCTATAAACTCTTCAAAAAAGATTCTTGACTCATTTTCCTTTCCTTTAAAACAAAACCTTTAAAAACTGAGACTGATATTCCAGTATTCCTTGAAAACCAAGGAACAGAGGAAGACCAGGCTCTGATACCAAAATGAAACACCCTAACCCGGCCGGGTACTACTTTTACTAAAATGCCTTTGATAAATAAAATGCTCAAATCTTAAATTGCAGCGGGAAAATTTTCATAAATAAAATACCAAAACACACACTTGTAGTTCAGAGCAAAGCCCTAACACGTGGGCAAATTAAATGCAAACTTTAAAATCTCAATCTGATCTCAAAATAATCTCCAGTCTGTACTCATAATCATAAACGTAAATAACTAATAATCTCTGAAGTTGTTGCTACCGAAAACCTTGACTAACATCCTCCGTGACGCTTATACTGCTCTCCTCTAGCTGGCTGCCCTCGAACTCGTTGCTCACTAACTGCTCCTCAAACTGGTGAGTGAGATGGGGTCAGTCTACGCCCTTACGTTTTAATACTTTTAATACTTTAGTACTTTACCTAAACACTTAACTTTGACTAGTGGAAGTTGTTTGTACTTCAATCTTACAATCTTAACTCATAAAATTCTTCGGGAGTTAAAGTTACACTCCCTTCTTAAAGCTTAAAACTTGACTTAAATCTTTAGACTGACACGGGGATCCCTCACTAGCTAGTCCGGTTGCCAACTCATACGTATGAGAAGCCATTCAGGCTTTTCTTAAACTTAAACTTAGTTAGGGAAGTCGTAACGATTCATCCCCCTAACATCTTAAACTTATCGTGGTGGCTCTTCACCACGATTCTCAAGAGCATAACTGTTGCTTATCTTAAAAGTCTCAAGAGCATAACTGCAGCTCTGTCTCAAAGATCTCAAGAGCATAACTGCTGCTCTATCTGAAAATCTCAAATGGCAACGGACTGGCGCTAGTGACTAAAAACACTTAAAACGACTTCACCTTCTTTAAGGTGAGTTACTTCTTTAAAAGAACTTGTTTCTTACTATTTAATAGTAACTTATACTCGTAAAAATTTCAAAGTAATTAATAAACATTCACTTTAAGTATAGCTCAAACAAAATCACCTCAAATAGCACAAAATCATCTCAAACCATAACTCAAGCACAGCACGAATAATCAATCATACACATAACAAATCAACGATAACCAATTCGCTAAAATACTTAAAATCATAATACTTAAAAGAATACGTAAGGCGTAGAATTTACCCCCTTTACACTCACCTTATCTCTGTCGAAACCAACTCTGAATCTGCTCCAAAATTTCCATACTTGCTCCAATTACATTCTCCTCGGAGCAAGATAAGCAAAGCGGGTCCCGCCTAAATGCATACACGATCTCCTCTTCAGTCCACCCCATACTCGTCATTACTACGATTTTCTTCGTCATGGTCGCATCACTCATTGACAGTGTAGATCTCAGAGCATGCATAAACATTCGCAATTTGGGTTCAAACCCCAACTTCTTACAAGTACTTACAGCTTGGACTATCCTGGACTGCTTAATCAATATGAATCTCGGATGAGCAGAAACCATGTTCACAATATAGGTCCTAGGAATTCCTTTACCTAACAAGAAGTCTATATTTGGCTGCATGTTTCCCTTCAAATCATAGCTCAGCAGCCACGAGGAACGCTTAATTGTGGACATGATTTTTTCAGAACTACCGAGAAGCAAGAGCAGATACTCAACGGATGGCTTACTTTAGGAATCTAAAGAGCTCTTGACAAGTAAAGGATTGGACACAATTAGGTCAGGAAGTTTTTTACCCACAAATCCAACTTTGTTGAGGAACTCGAACTTAGGCCCAAGATTGTTGCTTATTCTGCAATGGAGAACCGTGGGGCGCTTCTAAACCAATGTGGATATGTGGGCATCGGTGAAACCATGGGATCTAAGAAATTGAAGTACGGACTCGGGCTTCCCGTTCTTCTTCGCGTCGAGCTGGAGCTTCCTTGAAGCGACGATAGCTGATTCCATGGGAAGGCCACATGACTTGACGAGGTAGTCGACGACAAAAGAAGAAGAAGAAGGCGCCGCATTGAGAGAAACCGACTTGGGATTACATAAAGAATGCCCCTGAGCCTGTTGGCCGCTATTTTTTTCCAGTGCGGAGGCGAAACCCCCATTTACGAAAGACTTCGCCATCATAAGTAGAGGAGAAGTCTCCGCCGGCGGCAGTTCCATTCCCAAATATTGACGTGGAGAGTTTTGGGGAAGGATTGAGGGCGGCTCGGCCCTCTTGGCCGAATTATTATTATTTTTTCCTTTAATTATTAATTATAATAATATAGTTTATATTATTATTATTATAAATTAACCCACGATTGTAACCCTCCGTACGTAACCGTCGATCCAACCGTTCACGTATTATGGTCGAACCATAACCCAAAATTTGGGGTGTTACAAGACTCAAGGTCTAGTTAACGATTCTCCGCATTGTGAATGAAAGTGAAACAGGTTAGAGATCATCAATCATTAAAATTTAGATGGGAGATTATAGTGTGAGTGTTGAGCATATGGTTACACTTGGCCATTGTTAGGAGTTGTGTCTTAGCGAGTCAGAGATGTCATCCTACATCATCAAAATTCGTCCATAGGCATCTTCAATACACCAAGTACAACCACAACACCAAATTCTTATTCTAAGCAGGGTCCAAGCCCTTCTCATTTCTCAATACAAGTCTATTTAGATGGGAGATTATAGTGTGAGTGTTGAGCATATGGAGTTCGTTATTGGAGATGAAGTGCCATACAATGAAGTACATATTAGAGAGAGACGAAGACTGCAAGAGTTCGTGGATAAGCTTAGCATTCAAGGAGCATACTCTAGATCGTGGTTAATGAATTCGCACAAGAGAGCCTACATGAAACAAGAAGATTTGAGGTCAAATCTTTTTCCAGAGGGAGGGAATGATGCGACCCCGCTCACCCCACATGACGTTACTCGAGCTCAAATTAGATCTTCACATGGACCATGGGCCAAGAGACAAATTAAGAGGTTCAAAGAGATCTTAAGAGCATTCAAGATGAGTGAAAATGGTTCTGCAAGCAAGTCCTACGAGTTTGGTGATGTGAAATCGATTGGCAGAACATATAATTCTCATGGTCCAACGATGAAGACCCGAATACAACGATACAAGGATCAAATGGGATCATTTTTGATGGATATGGAATTGCACGAGGAAAGCCCATCACATACTATAATTTCCGGACCAAGATCACGAGAAGATGGGCTTGGAGAAAGGAGTTAAGATTCGGCCCAAAATAAAGGAATTCCCTCATGGTGTGAACAGAAGGTGTGAAAGGATCACAAGTGTGAAAGGAATATCAAGTGTGAACAGAATCCATGTGAGGGAGGATTTTAAGGCTAGAATTATGGGTTGAAAAGTCAAATTTGTTTCCTTTTCATTGTAGGACTTTGTTTACTTGTTTGTTAAGGGTTTTTTTTTTCCTTTTTTCAGGTTGGAGTTGGTTTTCCTTAGTTGTTTTGTGTTTAGATTCGTGGGTCTATAAATAGGAGTCCAACCAATGCATTTTTCATTCAATTTTTCATTCAATTAATTACAAGTGAGTTTGTGTGAGTTCAATTGTGAATGGTTTTTGCTTAATCTCTCCTTTGAGGATTCGGGATAATTGAGTGGTCTCTTATCAACTAGAGAACATGTCTAGTTGTGGCAAGCATCGACTATATCAATTTCCCCTTTCCACGAGTTGGTGTTGTTCGATTGGTTTAATATACCAATTGCCCTTCATCACGAGTTGGGATTGTCCGATTGATTCCATCCTATCTTTTATTTTCGAGTTCAAGAAAGGCGACATCAAGAAAGTCAAGAAAATCAAGAAAAGGACGTTTTCAAGAAAATCAAGAAAAGATCGTTGAAGCTGCGTACTTTGGTCATATAATCCGAGTTCGAGGGTTCTCTTCGGATTTGGATCATAACACTTTGATAGGTAAATAGTTGTAGAAATGCTACCTTGAATTTTCTCAACACAAGTTGAAAGTTAATCACTCCCATAATTATATAATGTGGAAGATGGAAACCCATGCTAGGAGGGAACATGTCAAAGAGTGATGAAGAGTATGGAAAATAAGAGCAAACATCGTATAGCCCACCAGATGGGGTTTTCTACCCAAATGCTGACAACTTCGCGGGCTAGAAGCGCGAGATCGCGACCGCGAACTTGCCCGTGAAGGATTCGATCTTAAGAGCTCTGTTTATACAAAGTTGCCCACATCTTAATGCAAAATCCGCGGTTTAGAGCACCGGATCATGGTGCCTAATCTAAGTGGTTCTAGAAATTAATTATTTAAAAGGGTAAGGTAAAAGAAAAGCAACCCGAAGTGTTCGGATACCTCCCAACAAGTGCGTCTCTGAATTCTTTTCGTCAGACTCTTAGATCGTGAGAGACCTTCAGGTGGACGCATCTCCCTCATCCTGGGTGGTGTCGTCAACAATGCCCTTGTGGTGAAGGCCTAAGTGTAGATCATGAAGCCATTCAGTACTCCCTTCGACTAACGACTCCGAAGGTAGATTCATTGTGGTTTCTTGGGTAGGAATTGAAGGTTGAGTAGCTTTCTTATTGAGAAATCGATCAATTGAGATCTTCTTTTCTAGGGGTACCGCCTTGCTTGTTTGAGGATGTTTTGCTAGAGGGGGATCCAAAATCAGTTTACGTGAAGGCACTTGAGTAGTTGGCACATCCAATCCCGTGTAAGAAGCGAACAAAGGGGAAACGACTCGTCTATCATTGGAGAGATTTATGATCAACATATCTTCTCCGTACTCTATGATTATTTGCCTTTTTGAGACCTCTATCACAGCTCTAATAGTTGCCAATAAAGTTTTGCCAAGTAACATGTGAGTAGGAGCCCTTGGTTCCGCATCCACCACTATAAAGTCTACCGGATAAACAAATCCCCAATTCTTACCAAAAGATCCTCTATGATCCCATTGGGGTAAACTATTGACTTATCGGCCAGTTGTATGGCCATCTCCGTCGGTCCAAGGTCTTGGAACCCCAATTCTCGAAAAAACTCTAAACTCATCACATTGAGATCAGAAAAGAGATCTACAAAGGCATCCTTAAAAGTAATCCCTTTTATAGAGCACGAAATGGAGAATAAGCACGGGTCTTCTCTCTTGATTGGGCCCTCATGATGAGTGAACACCAGAGACGCTTGCCCTATGTCAATGATCAGATGCTCGTCAAATTCCCATTTAGTCGCCAACAAATACTCTATGCAATCGACATATTGGGCGAGCTCTGAAGGTTCTTGGAGGACCCGCAGAGCTAGTGAAACATCCCGGGCTACGTCCTCCTTTTCTCCTTATCAAACTTCACATTTGGGTTAAAAGTTATGGGCTATAGGTTGATTGTCAACTCGCTCTCTGGTGACTTGCCCTGCTTCCCCTTGGGGTTTTGTTGTCCTTCCCTTATAATCTTCTCTAGGAGACCAACTAAGGCTGACATAACCTTTAGAGTGTCCACGACCACTTTGTTCTATGCCCTCAAGGAGTCCACTTGTGCTACAGAGGCGTGAAAAAATAGATCAAAATCGTTCATTTGCTGATGACAAATTGAAATCTAATCTGATACTCTTTGTTCCAAACGTTCGAACCGACGCTTCAATTCACATCAAGACCCACAAGGTTCTTTAGTGGTGTGGTCCCTAGGAGGTTCCATAGAAGGAGGAGAGGGACTAGGTTGATGAGGTACCCTCGTGTTGAGTGCAAAGACTTGCTCCACCCGAGTCAAATCCTTATCGCCCTTTCCCGGAAGCTCCTTTATCTCTATGCTCATCTTGTTGACTTAACTCCGAATAACCGTTTCTCAAGCTATAGTAGCTTCCTCCCTTTCTACCACATAGTTCCTTCATTTTCTCAAGGTCATTGTATCTGAATCCAGTTGGATAACTCCTTTCGATGATCTCCTTGTAATTCTCTAGGAGTCCATTGACGAAGTTCTTATTCAGTCGGTCTTCTGAATAACCATGATCCAGATGCCGTCGGGTCAGAACTCCAAAACGTTCCCAATGTTGTTGGAAATTCTCTTGGACCCCTTGTTGGAAGGTGACAATATCTCTCTTCTGCGTCCATGACTTCGCCCGATGGTGAAGCAGTAGCTTGAAACTCCTTAGACCAGTTGGCGGGCTCCCCTCACAAAGTGTAAGTGAAGAAAATTCCATTAATCTGATCTTGAGTGAATCCCGATATTCTCACAGCTTTGGCGGCCTTTAGAAAGTCAGACATATGATCAAGAGCACTCTCATCACTCCGTCCTTGAAATTGAGGTTGATGGCAAAGTGTAGCGATGGTCTCCTTTGAAATACATTCCAACTCGTTTCGATCCATGAGGAAAATTCTATTCACACGTGTAACTCTACAACCCCTAACATACAAAGTTGGATAACAAAACACAAAACGATAAAACTACGGAAATAATACAAACACAGACAATGAAAAAAACAGAGAAAAATGAAGGCTAAACTAACAACTTGATGGTTTTTTACTAGTTACAAAGGTTCCCCGACAACGATGTCTAAAAGCTTGATCGATTCAATCCGTACAAGTCATTGTCAATAGTTAGCACGTCTCGATAACTACCCCATCATAGGTCAAGTTTAACCTAGAGTGGTGTTGTCATATATATATAGTGGCAATCAAGATCGTATTCACTCGGGTCTCGGTACACTAGCCTACTTCCCACGTTGTTGTGATGGAGGATTCAAGAGGAATAATAGTAGAGAGAACAAATAAGGATAAAAGGAGGTACTTTGGGGAACTATCCCTCACCCTAGCACAGGTCTACTATGCAATATCTAGATAAATAGGGATTGTCGAATGTGGTGAGAGAGCTCTTTTCTGTGGGCTTTCGTGGTTATCCACACGCCTTCTAGTACGCCTCCCCTAAACTCATGTAAGTCACCTTGATCTAGGCTATCGTATGTGAGGCATTAAGCATATAGCTCCTTTCGATGAGTACTACCCACCGTCAACACCAAGGTTTTATCTGGGGTTCTATCTAGGAAGGCATTCCTATGGCAGGGGTACGGTCGCCTCGTCCACCATAGGGTCCTATTCATACATCTAACCTCAGTTTGCTTGATGGTGCATACCCGTCTAGCCCTAAAACTCCATGCCTAACGTAGAAGCTCAAGTAGGAGTTCAAACATTTTGGTTTCAGAAGCTCCCCGATTTCTTATGCGAAATGGTTCTCTTTTTGCCAGAATTATTTTTTCTCTAAAAATATTGAAAATTGATCTCATTTTTAGAGCACGATGAACTCATTCCATCTGTGCAAAAAAAAAATCCGAGTTAAAACGAAAAGATATGAGCCGATTAAGAAAGCTAGGGAAAATAAAAATGACCTTTAATTCTCCATCCTTAGATCTGGATTTTCTAAATGAAAGGTTCAGATTTGGTTATTGATGGGTGCATAACCCATGGTTATGCACCCTATCTTGAGCTGAGATCTTAAATGAACTGCCACGCAATCAATAAAGGTCACCCGGCGGGAGCTTTGACCGGATACTGATCCACCGACCCGGCCCAGGGATTCCCTTTCATCTCTGTAACCGCGATCGGCCTCAACGCCTTCTACACCGCGCTGTTACACTTGAACCCGGATCCGAACGCAATCTGCCACACTCGGTCCCCGACCGCCACCCTACCTTTGGCCTCGCTGTACACCAGCTCGTACCACAGCGAGCTGCTCGACGTGTTCCCGAACCGATGCAATGTCATCCTCGATGGCTCCATGCACCACTCGCTCAGCTACAGGTTCTTCTGCACCTCGTCCAGCACCGCCCTCCCCCCGGCGTGGATGCAGAAGTGCTCGAACGCCAGCTTGAAGTCCGGTCTCCTGGGACAGTTGTACTTCCAATGCCCCACTTCCTTACAGTTGTGACAAGCATCACCTGGCTATGGACCGGGACCCTTGAAATTCTTGTTTGAATTCCTTTTTCCAGATATCTTCTTTCCCTTTCCACCTGTAACAGCCAAACCCGATGCCCCACCACCTGTCCTAGATTCGGACGCCTTATGTATGATCTCTCTCGTGTGAAGAGCCCTTGCTGTTTCAATAAAGCCTGCATCTTGATCTGCCATATAGCGAAGCTGTTCTTCCCCGTGAACTTCTCGATCTTCATGTTCATCGACGTCATTCTTCATAATCGAAACCCTAGCCTGATTTCCAGCCGCGACTCTGATACCACTTGTTATAAACGCGCTGCTACATATCGGAAAATCGCCGGAATCGAGAAAGCAAGAATACGAAAGCGAGAATCGAAAACACGACGCACGATTTACGTGGTTCACTAGCACGATGTGTGTTAGCTAGTCCACGGGCGAGAGAGAGCCAGTTTCACTATATCGAGGAGATTACAGAGGAGATGAGAAGTATTTATACTTCTCCATGTGGGTCTAAATCTATTCCAATTTGGCAAAGGAAACGGTTACAGAACAGACGTAGAACCCGAACCCAAATAACATTGAGCTCATACACCACAACTATTTCAGTTGTAGCGACTGATAGTCCGATTCAAGTCACGTCAACAAATCTCCCCAAAGTATCTACTTTTCATATCTCCACCACTTCTGTTAGATGAAGGAACGATCTTCGCCTTAAGGAGCTCATTAATGAAATATTTTGCTTTACTTCGCCTTCCATAAGAACTAACAAAATTTAATTATCGATGCTTTTCATTTGCATTGGAGTTCAAATATTTTGGTTTCAGAAGCTCACCGATTTCTTATCTGAAATGGTTCTCTTTTTTTTCAGCATATCCATAATTAAAAAAAACTCACACTTCCAAAAAAAATTGACCAATTTTATACACGAATATTTTAGAATTTACGATCTTGCACTCCCACGAAGAGTTGTGTGACGAAAGGATATTACGATATTGGGAGAAAAGTTGCAACTAGGAAACAATTAATTAATAAAGTAGGCAGCCTGCTGAGGAGATCTTAAATGAACTGCCACGCAATCAATAAAGGTCAGCCGGCGGGAACTTTGACCGGGTACCGATCCACCGACCCGGCCCAGGGGTTCCCTTTGATCTCCGTCACCGCGATCGGCCTCAACGCCTTCCACACCGCGCTGTTACACTTGAACCCGGACCCGAACGCAATCTGCCACACTCGGTCCCCGACCGCCACCCTACCTTTGGCCTCGCTGTACGCCAGCTCGTACCACAGCGAGCTGCTCGACGTGTTCCCGAACCGATGCAACGTCATCCTCGACGGCTCCATGTGCCACTCGCTGAGCTGCAGGTTCTTCTGCACCTCGTCCAACACCGCCCTCCCCCCGGCGTGGATGCAGAAGTGCTCGAACGCCAGCTTGAAGTCCGGGATGTACGGCTTCACCCGCGCGTGTAGCACCTTCCGCCTGACGAGCGTGAGGAAGAACATCAGCTGCTCGCTCAGCGGAAGGACCAACGGTCCCAGCGTCGTGATGTTGGTCTTCAGCGCGTCCCCCGCAACCGCCATCAGCTCACGCGCCAGCGACACCCCGACCGTCCCGGTCTCGTCCTCCTTCTGGTACACGCAGTTGTAGTTCCTGTCGTCGGCGCCCTTGTGGGTCCGCACGGTGCGCACCAGCTCGTACTTGGCGCGTGACCTATCACGAGCCCTGTTGGACAGCAGGACGGCCGCCCCGCCCATGCGGAAGATGCAGTTGCACAGCAGCATGGAGCGGTCGTTGCCGAAGTACCAGTTTAGGGTGATGTTCTCGGTGCTCAAAACGACGGCGTACGTGTTGGGGTTGGCCTTGAGGAGGTCTTGGGCCAGGGCGATGGATATGAGCCCAGCGCTGCAGCCCATCCCGCCCAGGTTGTAGCTCTTGATGTCGGTGCGGAGCTTGTAGTGGTTGACGATCATGGCCGAGAGGGAAGGGGTGGGATTGAATAGGCTGCAGTTCACGATAAGGATGCCTACGTCCTTGGGGCTGACGCCGGTCTTGTCGAAGAGCGCGTCCAGGGCGCCGAACATGACGTCCTCGGCTTCCTTCCGAGCCTCGGCCATGCAGAGGTTCGGAGGGCGGGAGGTGATGCCACGTGGCAGGTACGTCTCGTCGCCGAGGCCGGAGCGCTGGGCGATGCGGGTCTGGAAGTTGAGGGTCTCGTCCTGGAAGCTGCCGCTCTCTTGGGACATCTGGAGGAAGGAGTCGTTGGAGATCTTCCTGTCGTCGTCGGGCTTGTAGCAGGCGAAGTCGACGAGGTAGATGGGCCTGGAGCGTTTGGCCCAGTAGAGGCCCATGAGGAAGAGGAGGACGGCTGAGCCGGCCAGGGTGGTGGCCTCGTCGACGTGGAGGGAGCGGGTGGACCAGACCTGGTGGAGCCGGTGGAGTTCCAGGCCGGTGAACTGGTGGAGCGTGGCGAGGAAGAGCGGGACGATGAGGAGGAAGGAGGCCGGGCTGCGGGAATAGCCGCCGTAGCCGAGCTTGACGTACTTGAGCTTGACGGACTGGAGGAAGTCGGGCAGGCGTTGGCGGATTTTGATGACGGCGGAGGTGGAGTCTTTGAAGGCCATCTCCGCCGTCAGCCTCTCCTCGTTCATGTCGATGCTACCGGAGGATGATCTTCCCTCCATAGCTTTGTGTTTTCTTTGGCGGTGTCGGGCTTTGGGAGTGGAAATGTTAGGTTATAAACAAGAGGGAAAGTGGGAAGAGAGAGAGGCGATTGAGAAGCTGGACATAAATAAATAGGTCCAGGCGAGGGAGGGAAGAAACAGAGAAGTGGGAGATGATAATAATCAGATTGTGGGCGGTGGCTGGTGTGAAAACCACAAGAAACAAACTGAAAGAGAAAGGGTGGGTGGGTGGGTGGGTGCTACAAGTTTGGAAGCGGTTGGATGGTGTATCTGTATCTGTAATGTATGATAAAGGAGGAGAGAGAGAGAGAGGGACAATTAAATGGTGGGAGGGAGTGGTTGCGGAAGTCCTCAAGAATGGGGAAGGAAGGAGTTGGGAGAAAGCTTTACTAATAACTGGAGCAAGTTATATGCCCTCATACTACCAAATGTTGATAGTACGTTCTCATATACGCTCGGTAGGGTTGGAGTGAGTGATGGTGGTGATGAATGGATTATTGGTTTTTTTTTTTTTTTGTTATAAAATAATAAATGGCGGGTAGTTGCAAGGAAGGCAGGCATTGATCGTTCAACTACCTTGTGATTAGCCTGCCAATATCATGGTGACTTATGTTATTGGTGATTTTGTTCATCTTCCCATGTGCAGATTGGGTAGCTAGGTTTGTCTAGATTGAATTCTCCACTTCTTAGTTCGGCAATAAGTTTTGACAATGGTTTAACACTAATGTGGACGGCCATGTGAGGTTTCTTCCAAGCAAGCTTTAAACTTATATATATATATATATATATATATATATATATATATATATATATATATATATATGGGGAGTAGTGGCGGACTCAGAATTGTCGGAGAGGTGTGTCGCCGATAAAATAATATAATAATTAATAGAAATTACTATAAATTAATTCATAAAGTTCATGTTTACTAGAAATGTCTGTAAATACATTCATTGCTTATGTTGCGAAGCAAATCCTTTTCCATATACACAACTAAACAATGATTCATAAATTGGTCACTCAACCGATTTCAAAGTTCATTCTTGATTATCTTCATAGCTGAAATCTTTCGCAACTTTCAATTGCAACATGTAAAGTCAACACCAACTTCCAAAAGCAAGTAAAACTAAAGGGTAAAAGAAAAGGGAGATGTGGTAGTGGCTCTCGGTAATTAAAAACTAAAACGGGGTAAGGGTGAGTTTTTTATTTTCAATAAAGGAAGGGTCAAGGGGTGGAAACGGTGAGTTTCAATGGATGGGGTTATGTTTATTTTTTCCATTGTTGGGTTGTGGTAGGGATTACAACCAAACCCATAGTCGCGGGTACCCGACCTCCTCCGACCCCGTCAACGTGGGAATCCTTGCGTTGACTGGGTATGGGGCGAGTATGGATAAAACACCCAAAAAGGTTGATGGGTGGGGTGGGTATGGTTTTTGACTCTCCCGCCCCATACCCATACCCAAACCCACCAACCAAGGATATTATGTTATATACATAAAATATAAGGAGTGCATTGTAACTTGTCAATCAAATGAATGGTAATTAAAAGAAAAAATAAAGTGTTAAAATGTAATTGATGACAACCAAACCGTAATTTCATCCTCTTAAGTATTAGTTCCATAATTTTGGGTGGGTAGTATCCATATTTGTCACCATATTCTTTTATTAATGGTGAGTAGTTGTTGGGGCAATATTACCCATGGGTATCCGAAAATCGCGGGTATGAGGATGAGTTTGTAAGACCTTTCACTACTTGGGTATGAGACGAGTATGAGTTTGAATATTTGAAAATGGGGATGAGGTTGGTTTAGGTAAACCCGCCATTGCCATCCCTAGGTTGTGGGTTACTCTAACACAAGCATACTTATTTGAATTTACTTATATTGTGTATTACTAATTAAGATAAATAACTTTATAACAAAAAAATCATTCTCGTATAATGAAAGTGTGTCGCTCACAATTATTTAAGGTGTGTCGGAAGTCCCGAATTTAAAAAAAAAATGTACCAAAAATATATAGGTACTTCACAAAATTTTTCGGGCGAGGGTGTGTCCGACGACACACCCTGCCCTTTACTAGGTCCGCCACTGATGGGGAGTTCTACGGTACCCAGGGTGAAATCCGGGGTACCGCATACCTTGTGTAAGAAAACGCTATCCAGAACTTGAATTGACCGATCTTTCGGACATGATACTATACTCTAACCCTTAAAGATCCAAATTTAGGTCTTAATTCTCTAAATCTTATACCCCCAGATCAATTTAATTAGAAACAATAATCGACGGTTATGATTCGTCCAAATAGAGGCAAAAAAAATTAATGCACCATCTTAGGGTTTATAGCTTATAATTTAGATAAGTATAGTATCATGCCCAAAAATCATGCTAATTCGAGGTCTAGATAGCGTTTTCATACTCAAGGTATGTGGTACCCAGGATTTCACCCGGGGTACCGTAGAAGGCACCATATATATATATATATATATAGCATGCGCCAGATTTTCTATACCGTTGATCTAATCTAACGTCCATAATTAATTATAATAAAATTGGTTAATTATTGAAAATTAGAATTGCCAATTGTACCCATTAAAAATTATATTTACATTATAGTCACCCAACATTGTTTCGTTGTATAAACACAACCATCTTATACAAACACAGTCGTTTGCCATAAACAAAATCTCCCTTCTGTAGTCTTATTGGTATGAATTCTATGAATCAAACTCTCGAATGAAACAACAAAAAAAAATATAAGAACAGACAATAAACACAAAAGCAAACCAAGCACAAAAATTGAATAAAATATCACTTCCTTTTACATCTCAAGCACTCAAAACAACAGGATTAGGAGTAAGGGATGACAATCAAACCCATGGCCGCGGGTATCCGACCATCCCCGACCGGTCAATACGGGGAATCCCCGCTTTGACCGGGTATGGGGCGGGTATGGATAAAACCCACAAAAATTTTGATGGGTATGAGGCAGGTTTGGTTTTAGCCTCCCCCGCCCCATACCCATACCCATACCCATACCCGCCCCACCAATAGAATTTCTTCATATATATAAAAAAAATATGTGCATCAAATTATAATCTATCAATGATGATGAGGATAACTTGAGAAAATAAATAGTAAAAATGCAATTGAGTGACCATCTTAATCAAAATCTAATTAATTTCTCTCAATTCTCATTTCACTCTTTCACTTTCCCCCTTGTCAACAAGATTATGTTAGTTAATTATTACTGAGTAGATGTATCAGAGTCAGAACATCATAATTTGAAAAATATTATACTCTATATTATGTATTAATGAATACTTGAAATCATGGTCCGGATCGCTCGACCATTTCACCATCGCAAACCTCACCTTCACTTTCCTTTCCAATGGCAACATCCTTTTTACAACTCATAGCGTTTTTGATAGCTTTGGCGACGCAATTCTTTGATGATGATCAACTGTCGATTTTCCCTCCTCTTGGTTTTGCTCCCGGAATCGTGATTTCCACGGTAATGAGGTTTGCGGCGGCAGGCAGGGAGAACCGGCGAATCTGAGGAGATGCTTCTTGAAGAGAAAAACTGAGCATTGAATTTATCATCGTTCAATTTCGTAACGCCTCCAAGCAATAGCAATCAATTTTGCCCCTCACTCTGCACTAAATGTTTGTACGAATCCAGTAAAATCCCTTCAACACCATGGAACTGGCCGCCAATTTGGAAGCAGATTTGTCGGGAATTCCCTATTCCTTATCGCCGCCGAGATCAAGACATAATCAAACGAAATTGTCCTACCTAGAAGTGGTTTCAAAATCAAAACAACTAAATTGCCTAGGAGGCGTAAAAAGACACTCTGTATAATGGAATCGGAGAGCCAGTTCTTTTCAACAGTTCGTGGGTTTGGAGGTGGTGATATGTTTTAGCCTTTTGGGAACATCGAAATAGTTTTAATGGACAAACTTTTAACAAAATGTGGGTACTTAAACATACATAGCTACAAAACAAGGTACTTTAATAGTAAAACTAATGGTTAAAATTGTTGGAAGACTATAATGTATGTCTAATTATTAATGGATACTATATTATTGATAAATAATAAATTAAATCAGATTTAATAACGAACGTTATATTAGATCAACAGTGTACAATCTTGGAGTATGCTATGCGTCTGGAGCATACGAGTCGTATCCATATATATATGGTGGCTTCTATCGTACCTCGGGTAAAATCTAGGGTACGACATACCTTGAGTAAGAAAACACTATCTAAACCTCGGATTAACCGGATTTTTGGGCATGGTACTATACCCTAACCCTTAATGAGTGAACCCAATATCGTAGTTTTCTAAGTCATAGAGCCTAACCCCTAAGATTGTGCATGTAATTTGTTACATATATTCCGACGAATCATAGCTGTTGATTGTTGTTTCTAATTAAACTGATCTTAGTATGTGAGATTTATAGAATTAAGACCTAGATTTTAATCTTTAAAGGTTTAGGAATAGTACCAGTTGCCAAACTCCGGTCAATTTGAAGTCTAAATAGCATTTTTTAACTCAGGGTATGACGTACCCTTGATTTTACCCAAGGTACGATATATATATATAGAGGCTACTTCGGTGCACTCACTTTTTGGGTGCATTGAATACACCCATCTCTAAAAGTGGTCATAATACATCAAATCTAAAACTTTAGTGGGTAGCATTAGTCTAATATGATGATGTAACACAAAATCACAACTAATCAGTCCATTACGCTAACCTATTAACCTTCAATTTTGAATCCCGACCCAAAATCCCAAATTGTAAACCCTAACCCTAAATTCCTAAACTCTAAATCATTCAAATTAAAGTGAATCTTGAATGATTTTTGTACAAATTCATGTGGTTCTTGTTCATCATACCACAAGTGATCATTGACATCGTTTTCACGTGAATCGCCGGCTCAGAATAACGATTTTTGAGGCGGGTGCATTGAATGCACCCAAAAAAGTGAGTGCACCGAAGACATAACTATATATATGTGTGTGTGAGAGAGAGATGCAAATTTATTTGTTTTTATTAAGTGTTAGTTAAAGGATTGAAAAACTAAGACCTTAAGATTGAGC